AAAATAGGCATGACGAGCTCACCTCTCCTTCATGTCGAGCTGCAAACTGTGCAGTCCTTTCCCGCGTAGAACTGGATTCCTTTGCCTTGTCTTAGCACGCTGCTGAAGCACCATGGAAGACCATTGCTTAATCCGATTCTACTTCCATGAACGCGCCAAAGCATGAGAGCTTTCCCACTATCACCTGCCGCCATGACGTGATCCTTCATTACTCAATCCTATGTCACAACCAATGCGCATTATTTCGGTTCGATATGTCGCCCAACTCTAAGCTCTTTGTTGGCGTGTGTCGAAATACCCGCACTTATGATCCGTAAATGCACACCACCTACGATACGATAAGAAGGCGCACCAAACAATATGCCTTTACATAGCATTAACAAATAGGGGAGCAGAGGAGCGCGCTCTGTCTAGGAGATCTGCGCATCCATCACAGTGGGCGCCTTGACGACGGCATCGGGAGTGTTTTTCAGCCTCCAGAGTTCGCCCTTGTACGTGGCCATATGTGCACCGTCCACGCGCATGTCAGACTTCACCTTATCCCACACCTTCTGCTTAAGGTGAGATTGACTATCTGGTTCGCCTAAAAGGAGCAGTCGATGTGTGCAGAATCAGTTGATTTGTTTGAGCAAAGTGTAATTGTCCTCCATAGGTATCATTCCCAATTATTGCCCGAAACCGAAAACAACCCAAAATCCATTAACAGTCGCGGCGCAGCACAGCAGTGCCACTTACCACCACTCCACATTCCGGTGCTCCCAGAGCTGTGCAGTTCTCGTGGTAACCACCAAGTGTATGACTAATGACTACAAGGGTGCTCAGGAGCTCTCGTCCCTCCCTCTCCTCGTAACACGTTCGTGTTTCCACCCCTTAAAGGCTTCATGCTTCGCGTCCCATCCTCTTAAAACTTGTAAATGGCAGAAGCAAACAGTCTTAACTTGCCGACACCAGTGCTGGTCCGAAGGAGCAGAAGGTCATGTTCACGTGCATGTCCTACCTGCTCAAGGTCGTGATCGTTTGTCTTTGCAGAGGTGCAGATGTTCCCCCACACGCACACAGCAGTCCCTAAATCCGCTTCAAGGGAGACTCACGGAGCGATTATCACGACTCTTGGAATAAATCGCTAGGTCATACACACATCGCCCGCCTCTATCGGACGAAGTGGTCCAAAGCCTGCACACCAGATTGATTGTTTGCTATCTATCAGTGCAACACAATCCCTAGGTGCTCAGTGGGTCCGACGTGAGGCACAACTACCTGAAGGAGAGCGGTCCAAATGCATTGCTTCATTAGAAACTGCAATATTATGTGAAGGAGAAAATTGGTGCGATCGCCGACGAGTGTGTTATTTGAAATCGTAAACCGCTTTGATGTACTAAGGAAGTCGCCAATTACTGCATATGTGTAACGGTATAATGAGTTAAATAACTGCGAAGATGAAGGGTCTATTGCCAAACATTGATACCAACTCACTGGGATAGCCATGTACGTAGACTCTGTCACCCAGGGTGATTTCGGTCGGACTCTGAATAATCAGAGGTTCCACTCTGCCACTGGCATCGGTGGCGCACATCAGCATACCCTGAGACTCGATGCCACGCATCTTGACAGGTTTAAGGTTGCACAGAAAGACGCCCACTAGGCCTCGCATCTCCTCGCTGGACATGTGTCGCGCCAGCCCGCAGACCACGGTGCGAAGGTTGTCCTCACCGAGGTCCACCTTACGGGAGGAAAGAAATGAAGACCACAACGCCGAAGAAAAGTGGGTAAATTGTCGATGACAAAGTCTAAGTTACTTGACTGATGTCGCAAGGGCATGGGAAGGAAACGAGTGCATTCATTTTACAGAACCCCTTGAAGCATGCGAACCGTAAAATGGCGCTGAACCGTATCCAAGGTCGAGCAATCAGGCAATCATCCAGCTAGATTAGGCACGATGTTTCACAGCGGTTTGTCATTCCAATGGATATGCCCTTGAGAATTGTCGACTCGGGGAGGCCGCGTGACTTGATGATCTGCTTGATGCGGCTCCCTTACGGTACCTAGTGTGTACAACTCTCCCAATAGCCCAGTTTTCACTGCCCCTGAAGCATTCGCAGGAGGGGTAGGTATCAACGACTCTACCTGCAAATCGCGAACGTTTAATCGTACTGCCACCTCCCCTAAGAACAGGGTGCTTAGATGACACCGCCAAATTCTGGTGGTGCAAGCAGCTCAGAATGCAATCAGACGAGTTCCCGAGGGAGGAGCGGGTCGACATTAACCTTGCATAAAACCACATAGAGATTCCTCCAAATAAACTGAGATACAGATAAATGATACCTTCTTGCATCCAGTATGGAACACTGTGTACCAAAACTTATGAGAGGTGAGCGATGGCTCACAACCTCGAAGACTGCCAGAACACATGCATCAGAAGAATGAGCCACGAAAATTCCCTTTCCCCAACATAACATGGCTTATCGATGGAGCATAAGGCGTAGACAGCAATGCACCATGGGATTTAAACCTTAGTGATAAAATACGGCACTATTCAGAAGCTTTTGTCAGTGCAACGTTAAATCACTTATGTAACGCTTCTGAATTCACCGAATTCTGACCGATTAAGGACGCGCACCAATGTAGTTGAAAACGATGTTAATGAAGAGGTCGTGGCAATTGACGTCGGCCTAAAGGGAAGCGAAAATGCCCTTAAAAAATGTTACTACGGAAACTGTCACCACCAAACATCGACATAAAACCTATCGAGAATGCGCAAACTGACACGACGCTTCAATCAAACTTAGTTAATAAAATGCCTTTCGCAAGCCAAACTGCATTGGTGGGCTCAGAAATGCGTTGACAAATCAAATTGTGGATGTTTTTTTACTGGAACCAAATCCTCAGGATCAATAGATCAACTTGGAGTCACAAAATTAGCCCCAGTCCTGCATAATCAGAACAAGTAGGCATTTACAACGCAACCAACCATTTGATCGGTGAAGCACGCTCATAGTAGAATTAGACATTGTTCGAACGACTAACAGTCAGGTTCGTGAAAAGTGAGTCAGGTCTGACCGACTGCCCATGCCTTCTAAGGGTGTTTCCAATGGAAAAGGCTGCACTTAGGATCACAGCGTATCAAATTAATCTAAAAAAGTCTGAGTGAAGCAGAGCTCTGTTCTGTGGAAGGTCGTGGACGTCTCTCCATGAAGGCGTGAGGAAATGCCGCGTTTCGTCCACGCTCCCAATCCGATGACAGAATACTTGGAAGAAAATGAGTGCAACTGACCTTCTCTACGTAGAGTAAATCCGCATCGGGATGCTGCTCCACCTCCACGATTTTACCTACCCGCATGTCCAAACGACTAACCTCGGGTAGACTTGTGCCCTGCTTACCGACTTTGGGTTGGCGTACTCGCTTCTTGACAGGCGGCGGGTACCCATTGTCTAAATTGCGTGAAAACTGTGAGAAAAGTCAACAAAACGCAGCACAACAATCCCATCAAAATGGAATGATAGCGAGGATATGCTGTCGAGTTTTGGAAAACAAGCACAACTGAATGAATATTCCAGCTGCGAAAAGTGCAAGTGCACGAGACTACAATACGCCGCTGTTGAGCCAATCAATGTGCATCGCGATGACCACCATCCGTTTTGGGCATGTCTTCAGGAAGTGAGGACGTGCGGCTTCGCAACAGCGGTAGCGCGTAGTACACTACATTAGAACGGGAGCAAGTCAACTCTCACTAACACTCCTGTTGTTACTAACACCTCTCCATGAGTTAGGTCATGTGACGGCAATGGTGCTAATGAATACGCCTTCTGGAGTGCAGGTTCTATTTTCCATTTCGATGGCGCACCTCCTCAATAAACTTCCTCCCTTCTCTTAAAAACCGATGAAGGCCGACAAAATTTTCACAACACACACAAGAAGCATCTGGGATAAAACGAAAGCCCTGAAGGTGCTTAATAATTCCATCTAGCCAGCAATAAAGAGCAAAAGCACAGCGTTTCGGTAAATA